CATGTTAAGTAGAGACATGGAAGATGTAAAAAAGACCCATGTAAACTTCCAGGGATAAAAAGTACAATGTCTGAAATGAAAAATATACGGAACAAAATTAATAACAGATTAGAAAATGCAGATGAAAGGATAAAAACCTGAACATCTGACAACAGAAACTATTCAAAAGTGAAACGTTAGAGAGAAAAAAAAGCCCAGAATAAACAAACAACAGAGTATCATTTTGCTGTGGGACAACTTCAAGTGACCTAATATAAATGCAATTTAAGTTACCAAATGTGTGTGGGGGGGGATACTTGAAGAAATAATTTCTTCAAATTTAATGAAAATTTCTCCAAATTTAATGAAAACTAAAAATCCACAAATTTCTATCTCAACAAATCCTAAGTACAGGAATCATGAGGAGAATTACATAAAAGCTCACCATAATCAAATTGCATAAGACTAGTGATAAAAAAAAATCTTAAAAGCAGACATATACACACTACCAAATGTAAAATAGATAGCTAGTGGGAAGTAGCCGCAAAGCACAGGGAGATCAGCTCATGCTTTGTGACCGCCTAGAGGGGTGGGATGGGGTGGGGGGAGGCAGACGCAAGAGGGAGGAGATATGGGGATATATGTATATGTATAGCTGATTCACTTTGTTATAAAGCAGAAACTAACACACCATTGTAAAGCAATTATACTCCAGTAAAGATGTTAAAAAAAGAGAAAAGCAGTCAGGAAAGACATCAGTTCTAATGTACAGAGGAATAAAGATTTTAAACGACAGTAAGAATGAATGCAATGCAGAAAACAGTGAAACAAAATCTTCAAACTACTGAAAGAAAAGGACGATTAACCTAGAATTCTATATCTGGCAAAAATGTCTTCCAAAATTTAAAGTCAAATATACACTTTTCAAGACATGCAAAAGCTGAAAGTATTCATTGCCAGGATACTCATGCACTATAAGAAATGTAAAAGATGGGAGTCCTTCAGACAGAAGGAAAATGATACCAGACAGAAATCTGGATCGACACAAGAGAATAAAGAGCACTGAAAAAATGTGAGCAAACATAAATATTTTCTTACATTTAAAATGCCTTTAAAAGACAACTGTCTAAAGCAAAAACAGTAACAATGTATTCTGGAGTTTATAACATGAGTAAGTAAAATGTACGATAACCAAGGTGAGGATAAGGGAAATGAAAGTATACCATTGTAAAGCTCTCACAATATAGGTAAAGTGGAACAATATTACTTGAAGGCAGGGCTTCTCTGGTGGCACAGTGGTTAAGAATCCGCCTGCCAATGCAGGGGACACGGGTTCGAGCCCTGGTCCGGGAAGATCCCACATGTCGCGGAGCAACTAAGCCTGTGCGCCACAACTACTGAGCCCACGCGCCACAACTACTGAAGCCCGTGAGCCTAGAGCCCGTGCTCCGCAACAAGAGAAATCACCATAATGAGAAGCCCGTGCACGGCAATGAAGAGTAGCCCCGCTTGCCGCAACTAGAGAAAGCCCACGTGCAGCAATGAAGACCCAACACAGCCAAAAATATATACATAAAAAATAAATTTAAATTACTTGAAGGTAGACTATGATAAATTAAAGATGTATACTATAAACTCTAAAGCAGCTGCTTTAAAAAAGGACATACAGACAGAATAAATAGAAAACAAAGAGCAAATTGATACACTTAAATCCAACCATATCAATAATCACATGAGATGTAAATGATCTAAATATCTCAATTAAAAAACAGAGATTATCAGACTGGATTAAAATACAAGACCCAACTATATGCTGCCTACAACAAATCCATCCCAAATATAAAGATACAACAGGTTAGAAGTAAAAGGCTGTATCATGCTAACACTAGTCAAAGTAAAGCTGGAGTAGCTATATTAATATCAGACAATGTTGATTTCAGAACAAAGAATATTACCATGGATAAAGAAGATCACTTCATAATGATAAAGGGGCCAATTCATCAAGAGGACATAACAATCCTAAATAACCTAACAGATCTTCAAAAAATATGAAGTAAAAAAATGATAGAACTTCAAGAAAAAATAGACAAATATACAATTGTTCCTGCAGATTTCAACACCTTTCTTGTTGATAGGACAAGTAGATAAAAAATCAGTAAAGATACAGAAATTTGGAACAACACTAACAGCCAACTTAATCTAATTGACATTTATCCTACATCCTATACAACAGACTATACATTCTTTTCATGTGCACAGAGAAGACTTAACAAGATAAGTCATATTCTGGGCCAAAAAAAAAATCAATAAACTTAAAATAATTCCAGTTATACAAAGTACGTTCCCTGACCACAATGGATTTAAATTAGAAATCAGTAACAGAAAGATATCTGGAAAAATCCCCAAATATTTGGAAACTAAATAACACTCCTAAGATTTAATAAAAAACTCTGCCTGTTTTAAAGAAATGATACATTTCTTTCTCTTAAAATATGACTAAGCAAAAATGGTTTTTGCCTTCACTGCCAAGAAGCCCAGGGCTAAACAAAAACTTTAAACACAATAATCATATCTACTCAAATCATTCATTCATTCAACTCAGTTTGAGCATCTAGTATGTGATTTTATAGAATCGAGGGATACAATACAATACCATCCCTGCTCTGTAGCTCAGTTTTATGGTTAGGTCTAGTGAATAGTATATTTGTAAGGCCCTACTGTTTTCATTTATTGAAAGTCCCTACTTTAACAGCTCTTTTTAAAATGTGTCCTTTCTTTAAAATTGCGTTTAATCCTTTCCAGAAACAACTGTTACCACACCCAACTAAATAATCATGCAGAAGAATTTTAATATCAGCCTAGGTTAAACATAATTCAAAATGTATGAAATTATGAAAAATTATAATGCACGTGCAAGGCCAAATAGTAAGTTTTTGGGGGTGATTTATAGCAGTGCTTCCCTCTCCTGGAATAAATAACCTAAAGTTGACTGTCTTTAAATACACCACTGACAACAATCTAAAAGTTTTGACATCGGAGGAACAAACAGATAACTAGATAAAAAGGAAAATAGTGTTGGAGTTGGTGGAGGTGTCCTCTGAATGAAGAGGGAGCTCAGAAGGTACAGAAAGCACAACCCAATGACAAGCTGGTACCACAGAGCTGTACTCAGTGAACTCAGGGGAAGACTGAGGTGGAACCTGGCCTCTACAGTACCTACCCTGGAAACTGTCTGGACTCCAGGGTCCTCCTCTTTAAAATGTGGGCCATGACAGATGATCTCTAAGGTCTCTTTCAGTTCTACAATTCTGTGAACCTAGTTTGGCTGGAATATCAAAGAAAATATCCCAAGAAGGAGCTCTGTGGTAGTGCCTCACCAAAAGCTATTTGAGTTGTTAAAACTAGACTTGATAATACACGTAACACATTCTAGGTGCTGTATTAAGTGTGGTATGGAAGACCTGAGTCTCGGTTTTGGTTTAACTTTACTAAAAGGTACAACCAATTGCAATTTAAGTGTTCTGATTCTTAGTTTCCTAGATAAGATAAAAAGATACAGAAATATATACTATGCAAGTATTGGGGAAAGAGACTGAATTCTCACTATGGTTAGCTAAGAAGGAATCTTGGAGGAGATGGACCTTGAAAGGATAGATGGAAATCAAAGGGATGGGCAATGATAATAACTTAAATAAAAGCTACAGGGTATAGCAGAAGACATGTGCTTTGGAGGCTGATGGATTTTGTTTTAAATCTTGGCCTTGGCTCTTCCATCTGTGTGACCTTGGACAATTCAGTTTTCTGAGTCTCAGTGTCCTCAAATCTAAAATGATAGGCTTACTTTATAGTTTTAAGGATTAAAGATAATAGCAATATAGAGTCTAGCACAATATCTGGCATATAGTAGTCATTCAAAAAATAAAAGCTTTCATTTTTAAGGGCCCAGAGGCAGAAGATAATGGGCATAACAGAAAGCAACATGCAGGTAAAGCAGAGGATGTGGTTGTAAAGGTAGGCAGGGGCCTATCTGTAGAGTGCCTAACCAATTTGCGGGCGAGTAAGGAACAAAGCAGGCCTGACCAGTTTGTTAGCTAAGAGCCCAGTTTGGAAGTGGAGTTCTATGGAGTTAATTTGAGGTAGTAAAGGTTTCAGTCAGAGGTGCAATTCAAGAGACTCCATTAGGGAAATGTGAGATAAAATCATGGGAAAATCAAGCACCAGCAGCCAAGACCAGAGATTAAATCCAAAGTAGCACGGGCAGGACTGGGATCTTGAAGTATGGCAGGGATGGGGTGTGACCATGAACACAATGGAAACAAGTAAGGAGCATCTAAGGTAGTTGCCTAGAAGATCCCTGAGTTACGTGCAGCTTCACTCTATTCGGGCTGTGGTGTTAGGGTATCTCAGGATGCCAAAAAGATGTAAAGAAGCGAGGCAGACATCATAGGCTTTATGTTGTACACTACTGGGGGTGGGGCAAGAGGGGTGCTAAGAGGGGTGTCAGATCGGGGATTCAACTTCTCAACTCCAGTGGCAGAGTGAAAGGTACAGTGAGGAAATTATTATAAAAGTCCAGGTAGGAGGTATGTGGGCCTGATACGAGGCCAAAGCAACGAGAATAGAAAGAAAGTAACACATGGGCCCATTTCAGGGTAAATTTCTGACAGGATGTGGTGACTTACAGGATGTGGCAGATGAAGGAAAGAAAGGAGTGAATAACTACTAAGTTTTTGAACTGTAAGATGAGGAAGACAGTGATGCCACTGAGCCGGGAACACAGAAAGAAGTGTAGGTGACGATGATGAGAACAATCACAATTCGAGGAGCTTACAACTGAGCATTCGGAGGCACTTAAAAGACGTGAATGTCACAACAGGGCCAGAGCTTCCATCACCCACCACCCAAACCTTAAAGCACTTCATTTCTTCTTTGACAATACCTGTGACTCAAGCTAAGGGGGCTTGGGGGCAGGGAGAGCATCAAAAATTTCATGAATTTCATAAAACTTATCCAGCACTTACCTTTACAGCTAATATCTTCCCACTTGGAACATGATATGCTCTACGGAAAGATAAAAAAATAATAAAATCACTTGGGATCACTAAACAACCTACCAAGTGGTTAAGGACATAAATGTAAATCTGAATACATCCTCAGGATATATGATACTTTCAAAGAACACTAACAACAGTAGTAATTTACATTTTCTATTGAGCTTAATGGTTTACACAGTGATTCACTATGTAGTACCTTAAAATAACCCTCTGAGGTAATGCTGGTATAATTATACACTTTTTAGAGCCCAGAACTCTGAAGCATAGAGAAGTTAAGCAGTTTACCCAATGGCACGAGTCAGTAAGAGGCAGAACTAGACATTAAACCCAAGTCTTCTGGCTTCAGATCCCTTACAACATACTGTCACTGTGTGTGTGTGTGTGTGTGTGTCCTCCACAGCTCTCTGCTAAGCATGGTACAGAGCCACATAAAATGGGAGGTTTCCCTTTTATCTCAGTTATATATACAGATAAACTACATCCCTACATTTCATCAAAATAATCTCAAGACACATGGCTTAAGATATAAATTCATGTACAAAGTCACAGTTACAAGGCTCAAGTATGAGGTTCATCTTTTCCTAAAGCTGGCATCTCTCAATATTTTTTTAAAAAGGTACAGAACAGAGGCAAGCTCAAATGATCAGATACAGTGAAATAATTACAATTTAAATCAAACAATATGAATACAGTCATTTATGAAAAAGAGAAAGAGAATGTTTGGAGAAATAAAATACCATTACAACTCATCAAGACCTTTTGTATTGAAATGAAATGTGTATGCATGCACTGCAAGGAATGCCATTCTGACCAACTATCCAGAAACAATTTGCTTTATATAAAAATTTCAAAACAAACCAAATAACATAAACAAGCACTGTTATTACAAGTCCATATAGGTATAAAGAAACAAATTAGTTTGGAAGAACTAAAATCTTGTTCCAGAGAAGATTTTACTTATTAGCCAAGATCCAATTGCTCTTCCCCTCACCCAGTTAGTGTTAAGATGTAAGTGCGGTAAGGAAGATGTGAGGGAGTGGAATTTAGGTTCTCAGGAATTCCGCATCCTTACATGCCAAGTTGCTAAATAAATTTACCAGGCTCCCAATTTTTACTGGGTAATGACTTAGTAGCAAACATTGTTCATTCCTTTTATTTTATAATTGACTTGTAATATTATGTTAGTTTCAGGTGTACAACATAATGGTTCAATATTTGAATATATTGTGAAATGATCACCACAGTAAGTCTAGTTAACACCCATCACTACACAGTTACAAAAATTGCTTATTTCATAAAACAGAAACAAAACATATATTCCACTATTATCAAAATGAAAACATCATTTTCTGTTGTTTTGGCATAAATATTCATTTTTAACACCTTTATTGAGGTATAATTATATACGGTAAAATTCACTTATTTTAAGTGTACAATTCAAGATTTTTAGAAAATTTACAGAGTTGTGCAATCACTGACAAGTGTTTTTAAAGTGACTGACTTAAAAAAATCATTCAGTTATTAAGAACCTACAAATATTTGTAACTTTTCACATATAAAATGTTATAAAATCAGGCATAACTAAGAAAAAACATATATATCAACATTAATGTATATATCCATACATAGGACTGTTATGAAAAATTTATTCTGCTTCTCCTACTTGAGCGGACAAAGGTTAAGCCAATTATGGAAGGTAAACTTAGCCTTTATTTTATCAATTAATTGTAGAGAAATTAAGTATATCTCATTTAAAGGAAAGGTAAGCTTATAAAAATCGTCAATTGTTCACTTTACCAAAGAGTACTTTAATCTGTATAAGTGTCTAAAGACTTTCTCTAAACACCAACCTCCCTAGTATATATAAATACTATTAAATTATAAAACTTAAATTATTAAAAATTTTTTGTACTTTGTATAAAGTGATACACATTTTTAAAGTGGAACCCTTATATTATACTGGTTTTACAACAAATTACCAGTTACTTTACTACCTATGATAACATCAGACTTTTAAAATGTGAAACTACATGTCATAATTCGATTCATGATATATCTGAACTCATGTAATAAATTAATATATAAAAACTTACATTGTATTTTTTCTCAGTGCATGACAGGGAAGTTTGTTGGACTAAGCCAATTTGAAGTATGACTTGAAGGAATTTAGTAACTTTATTCCAAGTAACATAATATATAACATTTAATAATGACACATTATTTTTCCTCTTGAATTATCATGGTCTCTTCCAATTTCAACATTTTAAAATACTAGATATTAGAATCACTAACTGAAGGCTGAAATGTGAAGATAAACAGGTGAATGCATACACAAGGATTCAAAAGTTGTAAAAAGAACAGTGATGTTACATTGGACAATGAGTACATCTGGATGTTTTAGACCAAAAGGAGTGATAGGGAAATGATTAGCAAATAATCTAGTATATATACCATACTGGACAGTTTGGCAACTTAATTAGCTTGTCAAGAAAGCCAATCTCTTTTCCAAAAGAAGGGTCTCCTATTTCCACGTGAATTAAAAGCAGAGGCTTGATGATTTAATTATGATGCATGCTAATTCATCCGTGGAAGTTTGGGTTCGATTTCGAGCAATAAAGATGCTGTGTGGTTTGGTTTACAGGGCAATGAGAGTACCAATTTAACACTTAATCATCAATGAGAAGTGGATGACAAAAGCAGTGCCAGGTATGAGTCCAGTGTGTCCCTTAACTTTGCAAATGCCATTCTACCCAGAGAAAAGGAATTTGTTTATTTTCAGTGGATACTGCATCTCAATTGCCTTGACCTCAATTGTCTTGATCTTTCTCAACACTGTAAAGTGATTAATGAAGTTTGGATGGAGGCTCTGGTTACACCAAAAGACAACTATACACCTCTGCATTGTTTTAATTAACCGCTAACACTTCAAATTAGTTTGTTGCCACAGTAATTACCTGTTCCAATGAGTGCATGGAGGGAGTATTTTTATAAGTTATTTTTAGTGCTGAGTCCTTGAGCGTTCCATTTTGTTTGTGACCAGCACAGAGCTTCTGGGAATAGTCCCAGCCCTTAAAATTGAGCACACAATATATATACACTTTAGGATTGCAAAAGCTAAGTAGCCTGGTATAAACTTTTTGAGTTTTTAAAATAACAAGGAGACCAGCAAAAGAGAACATCTATACTTTCCACACTTTCTTACTTTCTTTTTCTACTTGGAACCAACAGGTTCTATGTGACTGGACAAAAAAGTTGGTACCAACCTTTAATTTTGGTAGAGTACAAATTCAGATAATATATTGAGCAAATAGGTGATATAAAGAACTGTCTTATCTAATCCCTTCCTTTTGCAGTAGAAACATCTAAAAGCCAGGTTAAAAAACTTGTCCAAGCTTACACAGTTAGTCAATGACAAAGACAATACTGGAACTGAGGCAGAACATATATATTCTAGGACCTAAAAAAGTATGTGGTAATGTTTAAGTCTTCTTAACTGCATTCTAGAACAGGGGAACTCATAATTCAAAACATACAAAGGTGCTGACCTATTTCAATCAGGCTAAGACCATCACACTGAATCTTTCCAAGCAAGGAATCTGCAATCACTGCCAATCTACCAGAGGAGGCAGAAGAATGAGGGTTGTAATCTCCAAGTCACTGCTTGGGTTCTGATGCTAGCTCTGACACTTCCTCATGTGAACCTGGCCTGTTATTAAACCTCACCTTGTCTCAAGTGCCTCAAGTCTGAAAAGGGGAAATCAGCCCCTATGTTATAAACTTGTGAGGTTCAATGAGATAAGGAAAGCACATAGGACAGGGCCTGGCACATAGTAAGCGGGCATTACATGTTAGCCAGAAAGTTTTCAGGGTAGCTGGGTTTTTAAAAACCCACTAAAACAGGCTGAAAGGCAAGAGTTATCTCTGTGCTTTAAGTCTCAGGCTATGTGCTCTACAAAGGAAGGCTAATAAAGCTTTAACAATGAAGACTGGCAAAAAGCTGCAATATAGCACTTACTGTTAAGAAAAGCAAGTAGTGTTACATCATGGTGAACCAACTTTGAAAACAAAGAATTAGTCATCTGAAATGCTATGGCTATACCATGATTCAAATTCTAAAATTTCTCACCATGCTTATCTCTTGACCACTAGTTAACTTATTACACTCAGGTGTGATAAGTGCCACATTCCAGGTATTCATCTTAGCAGAAACACCACTGGACAGTAACTGTTGCTAAATGAGAAGCCTAATTTTTTATTCTCCTTGGATTAATGGGAAAATATAAGCTACCTTAAAACATCCACACAACTTCCTTTAATATACACCCTCATAGACTATAACATTTTGAGGCCTCTCCTAGTCTTTAGACTTTAGTATCTCTGTTATAACCCCCAGCACACTGCAGAAAAATTGTTTATATGTCTGTCTTCCATACTGGGCAGGGACACTACCATGTCTTAATCACCTTTGCATTCTTTATGCTTTGCACAAGTCCTGGCCCATGATATAGGTACTCCAAACTTAATAGATGTTTGACAAATGATTATTACTTCTGGATGAAAAAAGTTTATGTAATTGTTGAATAAAGCAGAAATGTATTTAATTAATGCATTTAATTAATTAATTGAATGCATGTAGACATTCTACATGCATTTAATTGATTAATTAATTCCATAATCTTATGAGTAGGCAGGAGGTATTCTTCCCTAGCTTTACTGTGATATAACTGACATATAACATGAGTAGAAGTTATTATCATCCCCATTTTATGGGTAGATTTCTAAGTGCTGAATCAAAAGTCCTTACAAGGATTTCAGGATCTGGCCCTGATTACCTCACTAATTTCTGCTTCTGCCAATCTCCCTTATCCACAATACTCACTCTGCTCCACCAAACATCTTTCTGCCTCAGCCCCTTTGCACCTACACTCAGCCTGGACCACTTTTCCTCCAATATCCACTTGGCTTGCTCTATCACTTCCTTCAGGTTCAATGTTACTTCTTTGACTA